AAATAGGCCTGTAATCTCAGCACTTTGGGAGGCTGAAGTGAGAGGATCCCTTGAAGCCAGGAATTTAAGACCAGCCTGGGTAACATGGCAAGACTCGGTCACTGCCAAAATGTTTTTAAATTAGCTATGCATGTTAGCGTGTGCCTGTAGTCCCTGCTATTAGGGAGGCTGAGGCAGGAGGATCGCTTGAATCCAGGAGTTCCGAGGAAGATCTCGACACTGCCCTCCAGCCTGGGTGACAGAGTCAGACTCTGTCTCAAAAAGAAAAAAATATATAGGTTAAATAAATAGTCTGAGGCGACATTGCTAGTTAGGCTCAGATGCCCAGAGACTGACAGACTCAGGAAAAGGAGACAAAGTAAGATCCCTCAGGCGCGATGGCTCACGCCTGTAATCCCAGCACTTTGGGAAGCCGAGGCCAGATCACTTGAGGTCAGGAGTTCAGGACCACCCTGGCAACAAGGTGAAAAACCCCGTCTCTACTGAAAATACAAAAAAAAATTAGCCGGGTTTGGGGGGCGCTGCGCCTGTAATCCCGGTTTCTCGGGAGGCTGAGGCTGGAGAATCGCTTGAACCGGGAGGCGGAGGTTTCGGTGAGCCGAGATGGCGCCACTGCACTCCAGCCTGGGCGATAGAGCGAGACTCCGTCTCTAAATAAATAAATGGAGATACGGAGACAGAGAAGCTGCGTTGTGTGAGAGAGGCAGGGTTGGACAGACGGGAGAAACCCAGCCTGCCGGATAGGAGTAGGGCAAAGAGGAACAGGACAGGGATGCAGGTGAGCTGTGGGACTCAAATGTAGGTGTCTCGGGGCAAACGTTAGCAGTTGTTTGTGTCTGGGGAGGGCTCCAGGCCCAGGCAGCACCTCACCGTGGCGGTACCAGGGCAGGTACCAGGGGCAGGACGCACGGACAGTGGCGTTAGGTGCAGCATAGTCCCAGCAGACGTACATATCGAAGGACCCGTTACACGCGAGGCCTGGGGGTGTGCAGGGGGGCCAGGTGCCCAGTGGACCTACTGCGCAGTGGGCCAGGGCTTCCCCGCCCGCCACACCAAGCCCGGCTCTAGCCCCGCCCACTCGGAGCGCATTCTGTCCCGGGTCGGCCACAAGCTCCTCCCACCAGCCTCAAAGCCCCGCCTCTCTTCCCGGCCCCACTCTGGGCTCCTCCCACCAAACACGTCCCTGCAGCAGATATTCCCACCCGGAGGGGCCCTACCCAGTCTCCATCCCAAACCCCGCCCCCTTCAAGGTCCATTTTGGTACAGGTCCCGCCCAAGGCTCCTCCCATTTCAAGCTTCTTCCGAGCCTCCCCCCCCCGGAACCATGGTCCCTCCCCAGTTCCCACCGCGCCCAGGTCAGCCCCCGGGCCTCTCCAGCCCACAGCACCCTGGATTTCTTCTTCACCCGTCAGCCCAAGGCCCCTCCTCCAAGCCCACCCTTTTCAGCTTCGGGTCCTCCCTGCGTCCCCAGCCCTCTTGGTCACACCTGAGGGCGGTTCCGCGGCTGCCAGGGTCTCCCGGCACTCCTTGCGGTACCGTTCCCAGCGCTGGTATAGCTCCCCCGCTGTCTGCTTCTCAGAGCCTGTCTAGGAAAAGAAAGAAGGGAGGACCCCCCAGACCGACCCCCACTCCCAGGCTGCTTGGCCATGTGGGCCAGAAGCACCCCAGAAGACTTCTAGGGGTTGTCCGGTTTTGCTCGGGAGTCTTGGGTGGTTTGGCACCAAGTTTCAGGTCTTGGGGTTGGGTGCCTGGAAGCCACCCAATGGAGTGGTTATGGGAGACTGAAAACCTTCAAGAAAATTGGGGAAGGGGTGGCTGAAATAATCAGGAGGATTTGCTGGGGGAAGAAAAGGGAGTGGAAACAATCATCAAAACCTGAATCTGGGCCCCGGCGTGGTGGCTCACGCCTATAATCCCAGCACTTTGGGAGGCCCAGGTGGGTGGATCACTTGAGGCCAGGAGCTCGAGACCAGCCTGGCCAACATGGTGAAACTCCGTCTCTACTAAAAATGGAAAAATTAGCTGGGCATGGTGGTGTTGGCGTGCTCCTGTAGTCCCAACTACTCAGGAGGCTGAGGCCAGATAATCACTTGAACCCGGGAGACGGAGGTTGCAGTGAGCTGAGATGGCACCACTGCACCCTAGCCTGGGTGACAGAGTGAGACTCCGTCCCAAAAACAAAAGCAAAACAAAACCCCACAACTTGAATCTGGGCAAGTGGGGCAGTCTTGAAACTCTTTGAGTTTCAAGGCTGAGGTAAGCCTTTATTTTTTATTTCTCTGAGGTAGTCTCACTCTGGTCACCCAGGCTGGAGTGCAGTGGTGTGATCTTGGCTCACTGCAATCTCTGCCTCCCGGGCTCAAGTGATTCTCCTGCCTCAGCCTCCCCAGTAGCTGGGACTACAGGTGTGTGCCACTACACCTGGCTAATTTTTAAATTTTTAGTAGAGATGGGGTTTCACCATATTGACCAGGCTGGTCCTAAACTCCTGACCTCAAGTGATCCACCTGCCTCGGCCTCCCAAGGTGCTGGGATTACAGGTGTGAGCCCTAATCAGGGAAGCCCTAAAACCATCCCCAGACCTCCCTCCAAGCCTGGAGCTCCTCTGGCTCCTCTGGTCCTCACCTCCGCCCTCCGTAGCAGCAGCCCCCACAGCAAGAGCCGCAGCAACAGCTGCAGGGTTGGAGAGGTAGTCATCGGGAGGGTGGCGAAGGGTCTGGTTCATGCAGGGGCGATCGGGCCTGGAGGGTCCCAGGGCAGGGTCAGCACCTCAGCCCTCCGCCTTCTGACTCCATCCCCAGCGTCACTCAGCCTCAGGGATTTACACATGCAGACTCCCAGGCAGCGCGTCCCTGCCTCACCCCCTACCCCCTACCCCCGCCCCCCGCCAACAACTCCTAGGCGGGATGATCTGCGGGGAGGGAGAGGCACTCGGAGTGGGTGGGACTGGGTGGTTGGCAGGGCCCCTTAAGTGATTCCCAGGCCGCCCCTGACTGTTGTTCGGGCAGCGAAGGTGGAAGGGGGGTGTTTGCTGAGCGGGCGGTTGCCTTAGAGCTACGCTGGGCGGAAGCGTCAGTGTCACTGGGAGTCTGGACCTACAGACTCCTGGGAACCCAGGGACCGCCTTGGAGAGGAGAGAGTAGAAACCATCAGCCTAGCCCCGTTTTATATGGGGGACTGAAAAACTTGAAGGTTTTCAGTACCTCCTAGTGGGGTGCTTGAAACGACCATCTGAGTTCCCCCAGCCTGGTGGAGAACTTGAAATGCCTTTCCAGGTTCCCACTCTCCAAGCCCAAAGGGTTTTGTAGCACAGATAGGAAGCCGACCTTATAAAACTTTCCCCACTGGGGGCAAATAAAGCCCAAGTAAGTGGGACAACCCTTTCCCAGCACCCAAGTACTTAGGGACCGGGAGAGGCGACATATCCGGGGTTAGGTGTGTGCAGATGCCTGGAAATCCGTCTATCTAATGCCCAACACCCACCTACCTGTGGCCCCACGGCTCCATGTAGAGAAAGAGGGAAGCAGAGAGGATCTCAGATCCAACCCCAGAAAGACAGACAACGGCGTCACAGACGCAAGCAACAGAAATATAAAGACTGAGAGGCACAGAGACTGAGGGACAGAATGAGATCCCCAGCCAGAGACCAGAGACCAACAGAGAGACACAGGTGTGGGCAAGAAGACAAAGAGGAGGGAGAGATGTGGAGGGAGACAGCGCGGGGTGGGGGAAGAGGTTATCAGCTCAGCAGAGATGAAGACGCGCAGACAGAGACATCACGAGACAGAGATGAGCAGAGACTGTGGTGGGCACAGAGACAGAGACAAAGGCAGGGCAGAGAAGCAGAGGAGGAGAGTCCCAGAGACTTGAGGGGTCGAGGGGAGTGGGAGAAATGGGCTGGGACTGGGGAGCCCTCACCTTTCCCCAGTCCTGCTCCTGGTCCCTTGCTCCTGCAGCCCCTGCCACCGCTGTCTCCACTGTCTCGTCTGGGCTCTGGGAGAAGTAACAGGCGCAGGCAGCCCAGGGTGGTGGGAGGGGGCGGGGCCAAGGCTGACGGGGAACGGAAGTGGGGAGCTCTGGGGCAGAGAGCCGAGCAGGGTGCAGTCATCAAGGTCATGAGGGAGGGCAGTTATTGAATTGCCCTTATCGTCCTGAGGACCCCTGTACCAAGTGTGCACAATCTCTTATGCTGTCCTACCCACAGGTCGCCCCCACCCAGTCACTCATTCCCAGAGCCTCAGTCACTCAATCAAAACATAGAGTGTCACACAATCCCATAGGCTGAGCCATGGAGAGGCACAGTCACAGAATCTCACAAGCTGTTACTCACACAGCCGCACGTTCAGTCACAGCCCTACAGTCCCACGGTCACACCCAGAGAGCCACAGTCCCTCACTCACAGGCAGACAGTCATCCACAGTGACACAGCCACATGCCCAGGGCCGTGGACTCCCACACACAGTCACACTCACAGTGTCCCAGGTTCCAACAACGCTGTCGATCACACGCACATTCACGCAGCCACTGGGTTTCATCACAAACACTGTTGCCCTGCTAGCCTGTGGGACCTGGGAGGGCAGAGCCAGGACATCTGGGTCACCACTGGGTCCCCAGAATCGTTCGGAGCAGGGGTTCAAGGAAGAATGGTCATGAAATAAATATGTGTAGTATGCAGTTGTGTGGTTACTCACAGACAAACAATTTTGTTTTCTTTATTTTTTGAGACAGAATCTCTCCTGTCGCCCAGGCTGGAGTGCAGTGGCACGATCTCAGCTCACTGAAACCTCCGCCTCCCAGGTTCAAGCGATTTTCCTGCATCAGCTTTCTGAGTAGCAGGGACTACAGGCGTGTGCCACCACACCCGGGTAATTTTTGTATTTTTAGTAGAGACAGGGTTTCACTGTGTTGCCCAAGCTGGTCTGGGCAACATGGTGAAACCTCCTGACCTCAGGTCCTGCCTGCCTCGGCCTCCCAAAATGCTGGGATTACAGGCCACAGCCACTGCACCCGGCCCATACAATCCTTTTTTAATTAAATTAATTTATTAATTTACAAGAATGGAGTACACTGGCACAATTATAGCTCACTACAGCCTCCACTTCCTGGGCTCAAGGGATCCTTCCACCTCAGCCTCTCCAGTAGCTGGGATTACAGGCATGAGACACCCTGCCTGGCTAATTTTTTTTGTATTTTTAGTAGAGATGGGGTTTCACCACATTGACCAGGGTGGTCACCAATTCCTGGCTTCAGATGATCCGCATGCCTTGGCCTCCCAAAGGGCCGGGATTACAGGCATGAGCCACCATGCCCCACCCATTTTTTAAAAAAATGTCTATGTCATTCAATCTTTTTTTTTTTTTTTGAGATAGAGTCTTGCTCTGTAGCCAGGCTGGAGTGCAGAGGTGCGATCTTGGCTCACTGCAAAATCTGCCTCCCGGGTTCAAGCGATTCTCCTGCCTTAGCCTCCAGAGTAGCTGGGATTATAGGCTCTTGTCACCACGCCCAGCTAATTTTTGTATTTTTTGTAGAGACAGAGTTTCACCATGTTGGCCAGGATCGTCTCAATCTCTTGACCTCATGATCCACCCTCCTTGGCCTCCCAAAGTGCTGGGATTACAGGCATGAACCACTGTGCCCAGCCATACAATCTTTTTATGAAAACAAGCTGAAAGTCACACACAATGTCATGCGACCACACCCATTAATGCTCTTACACACTCACACACTTCACAGTCACCCACAGAGTCCTCGGTCACATTCCAACAACACACATTCCCCAACTGTCATGAGGCGCACGCTCTCACACCGTCACCCTCACCCCCACAGTGACACTGAGTGACACGGTCACACAGACTCATAGCTCTCCCTTCATCTCACCCTCATTCATAAGTCACATGCAGTCACATACGTGTCACATACACAACCTCACTATCCCACAACTGTGCACATGCCACACAGTCACATTCATCACACCCTCAATCCCACCCCCCACAGTCACGCAGCCACACAGGTGCACACAGGGTCACACACACCATCATCTCACAATCACACACTAACCCGTAGCCTCACATGGTCCCATGGTCACAGTCACCAGTGAATCACACACACTCTGCCGTCTTGACTTCCAGTCTCATCCTTTGCCCTAAATATGGGGAACATCTGTACGTGACTGGGGGTGGAGGACAGGCTCAGAGCCCAGTCCCCGCTCCCAGCGCCCTCATGTCCTGTTAATACAAACTACCGATTCCTGCACATTAATCACACAATGGACATTCATGATCACGCCCTCCCCTGGGACTCTAAGTGGGACAGAGGTGAGTCTGCCCATTTTGGAGAGGAGAAATGGAGGCCCAGAGGCCCCAGGAGGGACAGGGAGTGAGTGTCGGCATGAGGTCTGCAACAGAGGCTGCAGGAGAGAAGTCTGGGGGGAGGCGAGGGTCCTGGCTTCCTGGCCTCGGGCTGCCTCCTGCTCTCTGCCCCACATTCCTGGCGCCCTCTGGGTCCTGGGAAAGGCTCCCGTCCTGGAGTGGAGAGGGAAGGGGGTCTGAGATTCCCCTGGCACCTTGAGAGAAGTTGGGGTTGGAGGTTGGGAGTCTCTCCTTGGCCCCATTGAGGGCCTGTGGTCACTCCACAGAGGAAGGCAGTGAGGGCTGGGGAGGCTGGAGAGGGGGAAGGAAGAGGGAAGTAGTGGAGAGCAAAGGAACTGGCGGTGTGAGACGGGAAAAGCTCACGTGGTGGCTCACGCCTGTAATACCAGCACTTTGGGAATCTGAGATGGGAGGATCACCTAAGCCTGGGAGTTGAAGACCAACCTGGGCAACATAGTGAGATCTCATCTCTTAAAAAAAACTTTTCTTTTTTCAGTTTTCCATTTTTTTTTTTTTTTTTTTGAGGTGGAGTCTCCATCTGTCACCCAGGCTGGAGTGCAGTGGCGCCATCTCAGCTCACTGCAACCTCTGCCTCCCGGGTTCAAGCAATTCTCCTGTCTCTGCCTCCCAAGTAGCTGGAACTATAGGCGCCTGCCACCAAACCCAGCTAATTTTTTTTTGTATTTGTAGTAGAGATGGGGTTTCACTATATTGACCAGATTGATCTTGAACTCCTGACCTCGTGATCCGCCTGCCTTGGCCTCCCAAAGTGCTGGGATTACAGGCATGAGCCACTGCACCCAGTCAATTTTTTTTTTTTTTAATTTAAGTTCTGGGATACATGTGCTGAATCTTCAGGTTTGTTACATAGGTATACATGTGCCATGGGGGTTTGCTGTACCTCTTTTTTTTAAATTTTTTAATTTTTTTTTATTTTAAAGACAGGGTTTCACCATGTTGGTCAGGCTGGTCTTGAACTCCCGACCTCAGGTGATCTGCCCGCCTTGACCTCCAAAGTGCTTGGATTACAGGCTTGAGCCACTACGTGTGGCTTGCTGCACCTCTTAACCCATCATCTAGGTTTAAAATGTTTTCTTTTTTTTTAGATGGATTTTAGAACTTGTTGCCCAGGCTGGAGTGTAGTGGCATGATCTTGGCTCACCGCAACCTCCGCCTCCCTGGTTCAACTGACTCTCCTGCCTCAGCCTCCCAAGTAGCTGGGATCACAGGCATGTACCACCACACCCAGCTAATTTTTTTGTATTTTCAGTAGATACAGGGTTTCACCATGTTGCCCAGGCTGGTCTTGAACTCCTGACCTCAGCTGAT